CCGGCTCCTGGGTCTGCATTTGGCCTCTGGTGTCCAGGCTGGCAGCCATGCGGCTGTAGACGGCCACATTCCTGTGCCTAATGCGGAGATCGTGGACGTTGGAGACCACCCCCCAAAACTTCGATGAGGTCCACGATCTCTGCACTAGACCAGGCGGGCGCCCGCCTCTTGCAGCCCCGGATAGGCTCCTGGGAGCCGCCAGCCTGGTCCCGGGAAGAGGGGGGGGGCTGGGGGGCAGGGGGTGGGTGGGGCCTGGCGCCAGGTGCGGGGTCTGCTGGCTGGGTGCTGGCAGGCTCGCAACTGGCACAAGCACTGTAGCCAGACCGTGACCCTTGAAGGGCTCCGGTGCCGGGAGGGGAGCAGAAGAGTTTCCCTGGTTTGGCCCAGAGTGGCCACCAGGGCAACTTGGGAAGGGCTAGCCTCCAGCTAGTTTGAATTAAATGGCTACACAGCCCTTAATTCGAACTAGGCCTTACTCCTCGTAGAATGAGGTTTACCTAGTTCGAATTAAGCGCTCTGTTTCGAATTAAATTTTTGGTGGAGGTGTGGGAAGTGAGAAAGTAGGGAGGCAACAGGTTCGCACAGGAGATATAGCAGGTATAGCCACTATTAAAGGTAATTCGAACTAACAGCTGTTAGTTTGAATTAATTTTATAGTGTAGACATACCCTTAGATACTCATATTAACATTGGGCAGAATTCATTGAAAGGCTAGAGTCATATACATAAGGGTTTTTTGTTCATCCCAGGTTACATTGTTCTGGCTTTGAAATAAAAAAAATGAATTCCTTAACAAATCTAATAATAAAGGCCCTGGGCTTGGAATATCTTGGAGACTATGGGATGGGGAAAGAAGGGCCAGGTGAGGGACTATCAAGAGTAACACATGATATAATAAAATAATTAAAAAAACTGTACCCAGGTTTTCTCACCCCTTAAATCTGTAGTCTCTAAAGATGATGCCAAAGTAACTTTTGCATGTTCCCAGATATTTTGTTTCTATAGTTTTTATGTTTTACTAATTTCATCTACTTTATGCCTGTTTAGAACTCTGCCTATGGAAATGTGGATGACATAGACCTGGAGAATAGTCATTTTTTAGAGAACAGAACATTAAACAGAAAAAAAGTGTTATAAGTAAGTATAACAAATATCAAAATCTTCCTGATACCAACCTGTTATCTTGCAGCCATAAACTTCAAATCTCAGTGATATACCATTTTCCCAGCTTGCAGGTCTGATTCGAACAAATCGTGCTAACACTGGCTTGGGAAAAGTCCTATAAACAACATCAGTGGGGTTGACGTTCCCTTGAAATACCTTAAGGGAGAAGAAGGGAAAGACACCATTTATTATATAATGTGTTTTCTTTCCAATGTAGTTTATAATTCTGCATTTTACTCATACCAAGAAATCCAAAGTTTAAATAGTTTTTTGCATAGAGGAGTATGTCATTAAACTACAGGCAGTCCCCGGGTTACGTACAAGATAGGGACTGTAGGTTTGTTCTTAAGTTTAATCTGTATATAAGTCGGAACTGGCATCAGCCGCTGCTGAAACTGATCAGTTTCAACAGCGGCTGAATCTGGACACCAGTTCCACTTACATACAGATTCAACTTAAGAACCCAACTCTGCCTCGGGCTTCCTGTAGTCAGCCGCTGGTCAGTTTCAGCAGCGGCTGACTTGGGGACGCCTGGGGCAGAGCAGCTCGGGTGCTGCTGGGTTGGTCCAGTAGCGCGGCCGCTCCTTGGCGCTACTGGACCAACCCAGCAGCACCCCAGCTGCTCTGCCCCAGGCGTCCTGATTCCGGCGCTGCTGAA